AAATATCCTATCTTCTTTAAGAATTTGATTGAATCCGGCAATGAATCTGGACATGATGTTGTACTGCTTGTACTTTTGGTCTTCGAGTCTCCTTCGACGTGTACTTCCTAAATGTTTGTGCGAATTTCTTGATGAAGAATTTGTCGTAACAACAAGGCTTTAGTTTGTAATACGGTAGAAATTTAATTTAATTTTGAAGGGTCCTCCTCTTTATTAAATAAGCTAATCACCCTCAGATTAGAATAAGCAACTCTCTCTTTAATTATTTGTCACTGTCATTATCCTTCTGGAAGAAAATTAGGGAATGATCGATGCTTATATGTCGCATATGTCATGTAGTGAGCCATTACACTAGTATTGGTTTGTTCACTTGTTGCGTTTATTGTTTTTGTGATAAATATGTATTAGTGCACTTTATTTGTGGTAGCCTTGTAGGTGTTTTAATTAATCGTTTGTGTGTGCAAATTTACTTCAAATCATTGTATTGATCCCTGGAGTAGTGTACCCAATTAGCACCCTTATATTTGTTTGTGATGATCAATGAAATACTGCTACCGTTTCTTGAGAAAAAAAAAAAAAAACATCACAGGGAGGAGGGATCACAATATGCTTCCATCACATGAAGTTGAATAGTGATCCCTTTCTTCCATATATTAGGGAGTTATGGAATCTAACCATGTTGTTTTGCTTGTAACAACAATCGATCATGCGCGTGTTAACGACAACTACTTACGTTGTGAATGAGTGACAATCAATCATGTGACACAATACAAATCAAAATTAGACGACCAATTGTAATTGCTCCCAAACAAATTAGTCTCCCTCTAAAAGGACTTGTGTACATGGAACATGCACGTTGCGATATATGTAGGAGCAGAAAATAATGATGTGGTTGGAAGAAATTCAATTAAAGTCCAACGTTATATAATAGTGTGAACGTTATATAATAGTGTGAAGGATTGACTAATTAATCTCATGTGTGTTGTTGACATTTCTTTTATCACAAGTCTCGTACATTTTTTTTTTCTTTAAAAAGGGGACCAACTAGTGGTAAGTCATGGTTATCCACCTCTTTTAGGGGTCGGGAAGACTTACAGAGGCATTTCAACCTCCCCCTGACTACAAGTCTAGCTTCCACACCAGCAGCGGGTTTCGAACTCAAGACCCCAATTTTTAGTTTTAAGAAAGCCCCGTAATCCGTCTTTTACCACTGGCCACAAGTCTCGTACATTGACAAAAGATATTTATCCAACCAAATATAGAACGTCAAAAGAATTATATAAAGAACAATACTTGGCTACTCAAGGATGAGTAGGAACTCCTACTCAAAACTCTTAGTGTTTTAATCACAGAGCTTTGTGCTTATGATTAGAACCATTCATATTATGAATCACATTGTAAAGATCATCTCTGCAAAAAATAAATTAAAACTAAGGTTGTTTAGTCAATCTATTGTAGTAAATACATAGACAGTTCGTAATGTTTTTACCAATACCGTTTATTTGTTTTTAAACAGTTTGATGACTAAACAACTTTAGTTTTAATTGATTTTTTGCAGATGCGATCTTTATAGGGTAATTTATAATATGAACGGTTTTTATTATAAACATGAAGTTCTATAAATTGACAACGAACAATTTTGAGAAATTTTGAGTAGGAGTCCTACTTATTTTTTAGTAGCCAAGTATTACCTTATATTTTAATGGAAGAGAGCAAGTCTTGGCGCAACAGAAAGGTTGCTCCTTTGTGATCGAAATGTCATGGGTTTGAGTCGTGGAATCAGCCTTTTTGCAAAGTAAGGGTACCGATGTGCACAATAGATGTTCCCTCTCACCTCCAGACCCTTGCAAAGCAGGAAGACTTGTTGGTTTGGAATTACCCTTTTATATATATTGATGAAAAAAATTCAAATAATCTTCACTATTTTTCACTTAAATCAAACTAAACTACGCATTACCTAATAAGTTGTTCGATTGCAATTAATTTGAAGGTGAAATTGGTTGAAACTATATTGTATATGTCGTTAAGTTACGTATCTACATAGTTAATGTGAAGGGAAAATACCTATTTATTTTCTTCTACGTCACATATATTGAACTTTTTTTTATTGATTGCGATATGATTCTGAGTTGAATGGAGAGATGGATACATATCAAGAACAATTCCTCAAACGCCGGACTTGACTCTTTTCAAGTGGTCTAGGTTTACAGACATTGGATATCAACAACTCAACGAGGATAGAAAAATCGGACGGAAAAGGAATAAAATCTTTCACCTTCGAATCTTTAATTCAATCCGTACGGGGCTTTGCCACGTGTTGCAAGACTAGGTGCGTTATGAGCCAATTTTTTCAGGATGCAGATGTATATATAGACCCTAAGTCTCTTTTCCACCAAGCGAAAGTAGTAGGTTTGATGAATGTTCATACTACTGTTCCAACGACAACAAGAATTTCTTAGTACTACTTTTCTACCTTTTTCATTTGTTTTGATTTCAAGATAAGGAAAGAAAGCCCACGACTTGTTGAGATTCCATGATTAGTACGATGCAGATGATACGGACCGATGAATCTCATCGATTGATACACAACTCCTAATTGCAGGCTCTCACTCTACCCTCTCCAACATGAGCCCCAGCACCGCCACATCCCTTAATTGCTGGTCCCTCGATCCTAAAATCTCAGTCGATATTAACAAAACAACAAAGAAAGGGGCGTGTAAAACAATGTCTTTTGGTTGCAAAGATCTTTTTCATAATTGTAGAAGAATTATAGAGAGAAACAAAGACCTACAATTGGATTTGGGGTTTGTTAATAGCAGTGGGTGTGGTGGTGGGGGAGAAAGGAGTTGATGGGGAAGAGAGAAAGGAGAAGATGATTTGGCTGTCAGATTTCTATCAACGGATGAGACCAATTGGTGCCAAGTATTCCCATAAAACTGATCCGAAGAGGATCTAAAATAAAATTATTTTTATTGGAAAAATAAATGGAATTAAATAATAAAACCATAGGTGCCACCAAACTCCAGTACATAACTGAAGTCATGATCTTCGTATAAATACATTTAAATGCAAAAACACAACAAAAATTAAAGCCTAGCGTGATAGGTGGGGCACTTATCCTTAATTGATAAGGGCATGATTTCAGAACCTATTGTTTTATAAGCCAAAAAACCCCCATCTAATTGTATTTATATAAGTTTTTTTTACTGCAATTTTATATTACTAGTTTTATTTTTGTGATAGAAAAATAGAGTTAATTAGTTTCAAATTTTATTGGGAGCTTTTAGTCACACCAAACAAATAGGATAATAATTTCATCCACCGTGAGGGAACGCACATGTTGCACCGGTGCCGAAATAATTGGAACTATTCAATTTCTTAATTTTCATTTGAAAATTATACGTACAACAAAAAACATTTGAATCGAAAATCGTTCATTATGTGAGTACCAAATAACATATTCATAATGAACCACTCATTTATTTGATACATTTGGATGACTAAGCAATTTTTACTTTGATTTATTTGATACGTTTGAATGACTAAATAATTTTCACTTTAATTTATTTGTATAGATGATCTTCAAATAAGATTAAAAAATTAATACAGCTAAGATAAGTTATCACGAGAGGTTGGACGTGCATCCTTTTAAATGCATCATATTTATTGGATGGCTTTATTTATTGGTATGCCTCTTGAAACTCAAATCTTGTTTCACTTGATTTATCTCTTGAAAAAAAAAGAAAAAAAAAAGTTAGAGAAGAAGAATACATTTTGTTGTTAGAGAGATTGAAGGCCCACTCCTAGTTTGTAATTTCCTGTGCAACCCAACCCAGAAGGCAGCTCCATCCAAGCTGCAGCCTTATGGGCCTAATCATAGTTTGGGCCCACGAAGACTAATCTTCTAAGTTTTTTTTTTTTTTGGATCAAAGGTACCATTCATTACCAACAACAAACATTACAACACAAATGTCCAAATTTTACAACACAGAGGCCCAAAAACAAAAAACACAAACAAACAACAGTGGCCCAACCAAAAGAAAACACAGAAACAACCGGATTTGTTGCATTTTCCTTCATAACCGCCGCTGCAACCACCAAAACAGCAGTCATGCATGTCGATCCAGACAAATTTGTTCCCCAAACTAAGCTTCGCCTCATCGATACCAGTAGCCAATCCCAAGCTTCACTCCTAGCATAGCTACATTCAACTGAGAATCTGCAGCCAATTGGAAGAAGCTCATGGTAGTCCACGAGCAACACTGCCAACAAAGGCAGACAACAAAGAGAAGGTGTTGGTGCAAGGAACACCCGACCTAGTGGAAGCACCAGATCAATACACACCAACTCGAAACACCGCAACAAATCGTGGCAAAATGTGACAGAAGATCGGAAATTGGATGGATATGGATGAGAGACAGCAGAGGGGAGAGAAGAAGGCAAATCGGCCAATAAAACCAGGGAAAAAAAACAGCGAATGGAAGAAGAGAAAGAGAAAGAGAGAGAGAAAGAAACAAAAGAAAACCCACCGATCTCAGCCGGAGGTAGGATCGGCGGCACCGGAATTGAACTCGATTGGGGACCACTCACACAGATAGGTGAGAATAACCCTCAAACGGAGGGAAGGTCTCTCTCATAGAGAGTGAGAGAAAGAGATTTTCTAAGTTTCAAGAGAAAGAAAATTGGAATTTTGTTTGACCCAAGAAAAAGAAAGGAGGCAGATTCTTTGCCATCCCACTTTTTGTGTCCTCCTATTTTGTGCGATCACGGTTAAGTCACGCCAACATTTTATATTATATTTTTTTATAGAGATAATAAGATACAAAAAAATAATAATATAACATGTTAACGTAATTTAATCGTGACCACACAAACAAGATGACACGAAAAATGGGAGGGCAGAGAATCTGCCTCCAAAAAGAAAAGATCAAAAATTGACTTATGATTTCTTGACTCACTGCCTTTTACTTTTCCACGTTCAAATTTGAAAGTTCAAAAGTTGGAATCCAAAAGAAACAAAAAAAGCAGAAGATATTGGTGGCTGTAAGGCAGAGGTGGTGCCAAATGGCCCCTCCATAGCTTTCACTCACCATTTTCAGGCGGTCACTCGACCTTTTCCATCTCCATATCTCTCTCTCCCTCTCCTGTGTTTGTCGGTGTGAGAACTCCGCAGGGCTTTCTTTTTTCTTGTTTTTATTCCTTTCTCTCGGAGAATTAGAAGGAAAGAAGGAAAGAGATGGAGTCTGAGAATATTGAAGCTAATCAAGCAAACAAAGAAGGGATTTCTCTGTACGGAGGCAAGTATCTACAGTACAACATTCTGGGTAATCTGTTTGAAGTCTCCGCCAAATATGCCCCTCCTATTCATCCAGTCGGTCGCGGTGCATACGGCATCGTCTGGTACCTATCTCTTTCTCTCTCTCTCTACACCTTTTTTGGTTTCTGTTTTGACATTGGTTTTTGGCTTAGAAATGGTATCTGTTTGGATTCTGGGAATAGCAGGGTTGAACTTTTGAGCTTGGATTTGAAAAGTTTGGTTCCGAAATTGAACTGGGTAGGCTTTAGCTTTGTGGGATTTTGCCTTTCTTGGGTCCCAAAAGGATAGATTTTGGATTCAAATTCAATGACCCAGTATTCGATTTGTTTTTTATATTTCGGTTGCTTTTGTATTTGAACTGGAGATATTGTTAGTTTAGTTGTTTTATAAGTTTGAGAGAGTTTATGGTGAATATGTGTTGATGTGTATCTTGATTTTTACTCAATGAGAGTATTCAGAGTAGAGGTGGTTAATGTTTCCCTTATGGCAGCTGTGCAACAAACTCTGAGACAAAAGAAGAGGTTGCAATCAAGAAAATTGGGAATGCATTTGACAATAGGATCGATGCGAAGAGGACGCTTCGAGAGATAAAGCTCCTTTGTCATATGGATCATGACAATGTAAAGCCTCATCTGCTGTTCCTTCCTTTTGGAAAGTTGGAATTACCCAAATGGAGCTGAATGATAAATATTACCCAAATAAGAAATAATTGGGTTGTTGTTTTGCAGGTTGTCAAAATTAAGGACATCATAAAGCCGGCAGATAGGGAAAAGTTCAATGATGTTTATATTGTATATGAATTGATGGATACTGACTTGAATCAGATAATACACTCTAGCCAGGCTTTGACAGATGACCATTGTCAGGTAAGTTGAGCGTTGTTATATTGTGGACATTGTTTTGAAGGAATGTTGAACCTATTTTCAAAATTTCAAATGGTAAAACTATTAGGTTTATGATATCGATGAATCAAGCTCTTCGTTGTTCAAAAAGAGCTACTGGTCTCTTGAATACAGTGAATGCTGTTGTTAATTATCCAGTATCTTTGCATTTTGACATATACGTTTGCTTGAATAAAGTAAGAGACCATGTACGACACTGTGTCACAGGCTTTTTAGTATAACCTAAAAGTCTGATACCTGGTAACCCAGACATAAACATTATGCACAGGTAGGCACACTGAATATTTGATTTGTATTTTGTTTGTTTTGCTGCAATTCTGAAATTTCATGCTTCTCTGTGGTTGTCTCTCCCTCTCCCTCTCGTGATTATATGTAGACTATGTATTGGCCATGTTGTATTTGCAACATGTATATACTCAAAAGTGTAGTAGATTACCTTGAAAGTTATGTTGAAATCAAGGTTTAAATCACTTAAATTTTAAGCACCATATAATGTTTCTTGCAGTATTTCTTGTATCAATTACTGCGGGGATTGAAGTACATACACTCTGCAAATGTTTTGCACCGTGACCTGAAACCAAGTAACCTGCTTCTCAATGCAAATTGTGACCTTAAGATTTGTGACTTTGGGCTTGCAAGAACTACATCAGAGACAGATTTCATGACAGAATATGTTGTAACTCGTTGGTATCGAGCCCCTGAGTTACTACTCAACTGTTCAGAATACACTGCAGCAATTGATATTTGGTCAGTAGGGTGCATCTTCATGGAGATTCTTAGGAGGGAACCACTGTTTCCTGGTAAAGACTATGTTCAGCAGTTGAGTCTCATAACTGAGGTATATGCACTTTTCGTCATATTCTCTAGCGACTCTTGAACTTGATAGATGTGATTTAGCGTCAGCAGAGTATATTGTTTATTGTTGATATTCTTTACAAGGGATGTCAGAACTAGTTACAGGATTTGGAAGTTTATGCTGTTAATTTTATAGTTTTGATGTTTCAAATTCTTGATTGTTCAAATACAGCTGCTAGGTTCACCAGATGATTCAGATCTTGGCTTTTTAAGAAGTGATAATGCAAGGAAGTATGTTAAGCAGCTCCCACATGTCCCAAAGCAACCCTTTGCCGAGAAAATCCCAAATGTCTCGCCACTGGCAATTGATCTTGCAGAAAGAATGCTAGTTTTTGATCCAAGCAAACGTATTACTGGTAAGCCTCATACCATTAAATAACACTCAATCTTTTCTCATTCACTTTCAAGGTACTCACATTTATCTTTTTGGTTCACTATGTACGAAAAGTGGAGGAAGCACTGAACCATCCATTTTTATCAAGTCTTCACGAGATCAATGAGGAGCCTATCTGCCCATCTCCATTCGTCTTTGACTTTGAGCAGGCATCCCTGGATGAAGAAGATATAAAGGAGCTCATATGGAGGGAGTCTCTACACTTCAATCCAGACAATATATTGGGATAATTTTGTCGACTGCGACCTGTATTCTCTTTCTGTTGTGTTTTCCACCGACCAGCATCGCATTTGAAGGATGCTTTTGGTTGCGGAAGGTTGGTAATGTATCTCATTTGTGAGGAGATTCTATATAAAATCAACTAGGGGAGACGGGGTTCTCCTTTGTGTTGAGAGGATGAAACGGCGGTTTCATAACGAGAGTGATATGGTAATGTGAAGCTTCTGGATTGATTCAATCTGAGAATCTAGTAAGAGGTCAGGGTTGGTGTGGCATAAGAGAAGGCTTGGTTCTCCCGGCCTTCTTTGGATTTGACGTGGTTTGTATATTGTAAATGCAATATGATTCGAAACCAAATAAAAGTAAGAATATAGCGGGGAAGATAGCTCAGCTAGTTTGTTTTCGTCTTTATACTTTTTTGGTTGGAGTTTCTTATGAACCTTTTTGAGTAAATTAGCATTCACATAATATGCATAAATATGTGACAGTTGACAAAGCTAGCATTTCAAACAAGAAAGCTATAGGGTATATGGTCCCTTTGGAATGATTTGCATACAACTAGTACGTTGTAGCGGTAAAACATAGCTCAAAAATGGATTACTCTGTAAATACGGTGACTCTTCGAATAGGAATCGTTTTTCCCAAAAATCTTGGCTTTCGTGCTTTGATGGGTCTTTGAGATCGTTTCAATGACCTATGTTGTGTTGAAGGGATATTTATATGATCCGATCGATTACGAAAGTCCACAGTAGCAATAGAACTGGGGAAAGTATATAAAAGATAGTTTTTCTATCATATTAGCATTTTCATTAGTATTATTAGTTAGTGATCTTGTTCAGTGAGTCTTTTCTTCCGTGAAACTATTGGCACCAATCCTACATTTTGTCTCTGTGGACTGAGAAGAAGGGGGCGCAACAGGAAGAGGATTGTAACACAAAAGAAGCAAGGGGTCACCTTCTGTCAAATATACAACATGAATTTTGGCAATGCAATGTAGTTGGACTTTCACGCAATGTAGTTGGACTTTCACGTCGATCCAAATGAATTATCCTTTCCACAAAGGTAAACTGCTAGGCGCAAGTGATTACTAGCATATGGGCACACACAAAGTGTGTGAGAAAATTTTTTATTTTTGTTTTTGAAATAGAAGAGAGAGGAAGAGAGTGATAGAGAATGTGGGAGTCGGAAGTTTTATTTTTTTATTTTTTAATTAGAGATATGTTAGTATTACATGTAGGTGAGGTTTTAAAAAGAAAAAAAAAAGCAAAATTTGGTTGTGTGAAATTACATTTCTACCCCATATTTCTTATTCATGTTCTGTTTTAATTAAAGGGTTAAACTGGTAATTTCATAAGGTTTTGATTGACAATGAGTGTTTTATTAATTAATAGAGATAAGTTTTTCTATTATGTCTGGTTAATTAGCAATTGTTTACATTTATTTTTGGAGAAGTCATTACATTTACATGGATCCCAACTCCTAAGAAAAATTGGAAACCGCCAAGAGACTATATTTCCAGAAAGAAAAAGATATCCCTTTACGATTTGGAAATCAATTAGAATTAGGAAAGGATTAAGAAACTGGCTCAGTACTATAAATATGCGGTTCCGCCTCACGTTTTGTTTCACCAAACACTCTCTAAATCTCTTGTTGTATGCAATTATATCGCCCTAACACCTAGCTCTCTTGTCCCATGGATCCCAAGTTTGCACTCCGTTTTCTTCTCGTTCTTCTTCTCACTTCACCTCTCTTTGTTACCAACACCATGCAAGCTGAAGCCGTCCAACCCTACGGAGAAACGAACCAACGCGAACCATCCGAGATAATCAACGGCGGTTTGGTATCAGTCATCCTCTCCGACAAAGGGTATCATGCCATGTCACTTACCCTAGACATCCTTCTGAGGCTGTAAACCCTAACAGCACTGTTACCCTCTTTTGCCCACAAGACAAAGCTTTCTTCAACTCCAAGTACCCACAGCCCCCATTGACACTCCTTAAGTACCATGCTGTTCCATTCAAGGTGGACAAGGCTTCCATGGAGGCCTCCTTCCATCGCGGCTTCAAGGTCGACACTCTCCTGCCCGGTCATCCTCTCGTCGTTACTTCCCTACCGGCCGGCACGCATGGATATGCTTCTCTTAACCTAGTCAAAGTCACTGAATGGGATCTCTATAACAATGGACGGCTGATTGTTCACGGGGTTGAAGACTTGTTCGATCCGGCTTTTCAAACCCTAAGGTATCCAGAGTACGACGTGGTTGCGAAAGATGATGTTAGTTCTGGTGGAGTTTCTTGGCTCAAGGAGGCAACAGAGAATTGGTTTCTTATGCTAGGTCTGGCGGCTGCTTCCACTTGTGCACTCGTTCTTGCATTTTTCTTTTGCGCCAAGCCTTCGAAGATGGATGATGTTCACTATTCTCCTTTGTACTATTAGGTTCTTCGTCATGTATTAAATGAGGTTAATTAATAAAGGTTCTTGAACAATGCTTGAATCTTGATGATCTTTTATATATTTTGCTGGTTCTTTCTTTCTTCTTATTATTTGTGGAAGTTTATTGTAAATTTTTCTTTTTTTAAAACTTCGGTGATACGGGGAAATTTTTTATAAAGAAAAAGTGGAAGGTTATTGTATTAATTGGATGGTTTTCTTCATTTTGGCGTGCATATAGAGGTCACTAATTGGAGATAAAAAAAATAAAAAAAATTACACTTTATTAAACTGGTTACAAACTTTTAATAAAAAAAAGAACTGAAACGTGGATATACATATATATATATATATATATTTTTTTTTTTTTTAGTTCAAAAACGTGGACATTTAACAGATAATAAAGGTGCACCACACCACGACATACATGGCTAAAAAACATTTTCCAAGCAGGGAGGAAATGGCAAAATATCACTCTTTTATCCCCTCTAAACCTTCGAAGTCTAATGTTGTTTGTTAAAATATCCCATATTAACCGTATCTCTGAGAAAATAAGAATTTAAATATACTAATCTCACTTCAACTAATAGTAAGGCAAGAGTTTAAATATCTTAATCCCACTCCAACTAGTAATGAGGTTTTTTGTGACAAAATCTCATATGAATTGTGTAGACAATTGTTGGAGGTACGCCTTCAGTCCGTCTCTCTAATAATTTGACATTCATATGTTGTTATCATGGCTATTTGAGTTTCTTGGACTGCAAACGAAATGCGAGGAAGAACCGAAGAAGAATATGAATCGGGCAAATTCTATCAATGTAATTGCATCCTATGTTTAAGTTTTTTCTCTTTTAATTTCGTAAGTTTATACGTTTGATCAATTTCTAGCATTTGGATATATTTTTAACCATAATGCGTTTTTCTCCGGAACTTACTTGTCTCTCACTTACAATTGAATATCGGTGTGTTAAATGGAGCTGGCTTCTCCGCCCACTTCTCATACACTTCCATCCCCTCCTATTTGTGCGGTCACGGTTAAACCACGTCAACATTTTATATTACTGATGTTTTTTGTCTTATTATCTCTATAAAAAAAAAAACCAATATAAAATGTTAACATGGCTTAACCATGACCTTACAAAATAAGAGGGGATAAGAGTGAAAAGTGGGAGGGCAGGGAAGCCAGCTCCGTGTGTGTTAGGAAGGCTAGCTAGGTTTTTAAAGTAGCTAGTCTCAAGGCCTCCCCGCTTGTTTGAATCATCAACTCTGACACTTACATGCATATGTGCATTCATCAATCCAGTAGGAAGTAAATGCCGTAAATGTCGATTTCCATTTATTCTAACAATTACATTATGTACTGGGAGATCCCACATATGACGTAAAATCCACCACCTTACAACAAAACCAAGGATCGCCAAAACAAAAGCCTCACGTCATGCTTAAAGCTGAAAATTGATAACTTGTTTCGCTTGGCTCCCTTGTTTCCCAAGCGCCTTATCGAGTGCAGCACTGAAATTGTCAAAGGGAACCAGCTCCATCCTACAAACAGGGAAAGCCTCTAAATGTTAAAAATACAGCAGTTGAAATTTGAAAAATTGGAGGAAGAAAAGAAGCCGAAAGGGTATAGTGGACGAAAGAGAACTTACTCGTATTTTAACTTCCCTTCCCGTGCTAGGTCCAGGAGGTGATCTATCAAAACTCTACACTCAAATGCCTTTTCTGTACTCATCCATTTCTGCAACCAGAATCCCCTCAAGGAAAGATCCTACACACGGAGATATACGAGACACAGTACACAAGCAAAATGAAACTATCACAAACAGATACATTAATCTGTGGAACTAATGAGAAATTTCTCTACTAACGGAAACTGGTGGGTAAAAAAATCGTGTTGCTTTAAAACTATGAAATCCAAAGGCTCGCCAACCAACATGACAACCCACCATACCCCAACAGATAATTCCTATTTCTCCCTTCATCTCCGCGGCTACGCCACATAAAGAGCTAACCTAATCTGGGTTTTAAATGCCAGAAAGGATTTCTGTAACTGTACAACTTTGAATTTCTAATCAAATTAATCTCCTAGGCTTATAAAATTAACACTCAAGAAAACTTGCCAGAATAGTTCAAGACTAAATATGCCATAAATGCATATATAATGAGACCGGGTCTACTCAATCCTTTTTTTGGAACATGCAACCTTCAATCTTTTGACCTCTAATGGTACGATCTAACTGTTTTCCTTCTTTGTAGTAATCAGCTTTTCTTATGTGCTTTTGTTATTGTTCCTTTCCTATTTCATGGTTTTCCCATGTCCGTTTATTTCTAATGTAGCATCCCTTGCCATTTCCCCATGTTTTCCTTTACTCCTCATTGCACCCACACTAACTCGCAGTTCTCAGCGGAGAAATAAAAATTTTAAGTTTCTGTGTGCAATATACTTTCCTCTAAAAAGTAAAAGCCACAAATGTCGAATTGACTTACCTTAAAAATAAAAGATGAAGTTGATACAGTAACAGGTTTCTTAGACATTCCACCATATGTTACCATAGTTCCACCACGCCTTAAACAGAAAAACATTACATTTTCATAAGAATGTCAAATTTTAATACCACTTGAAAAAACGTTGCACTGTTCAAAGTATATAGTACGGCAAATCATGTTACCCCAAAAATTTAAGAACCAGAGAAGCAGCATTGCCTCCAACACAGTTAAATCCCAATGAAGGTTCAGGTATACCACCCTGGCATATAAATCAGATTAAACGCCAACAGATTAGTGAAACAACTAAGTGGAGGAAGAACCGAACCGCAACATACAAATTAATTAATCGATTCCAGAATTTGTGGAAGACACTTGAGAATATCAACCATAACAAGGAAAAAAGATAATACCAGAAGACCCTTGACATTCTTAACTTCCAGCTGACTCTCTGTAAAAACTTCATCAGCACCAAGGTTTTTGAGTTTTTCTTTTACTTCATCTGACCCAGCCCTGTAGGAAGCATACAATGGTAAGCTAAATAAAGATTCTTTTGACAAAAATGTATATTTCTGGAAGCAGAAATCTAAGAAATATACTTCTATCAGAAAACTGTATTTTTTAATAAACAAATCTTTCGTATTAGCACCTGTCCCTTATTATGTTAATGTTATGGATGCCACGATGCTGTGCAAGCTGAATAATGCACTGCCCCACGATGCTTGTAGCTCCATTTTGAACAATAGCATCTCCTATTCAAACCAAATTAGTCGGTGACAAAACGATTAAGAAAACAGCGTAGAAATTACAGATGTTGCTATACCTTTCTTTAAAGTGGTGAAGTCTTCTAGCATTCTTAGAGCAGTCAAAGGATTAACCGTAACAGTGGCAGCATACTCCAAGGGTGAATCTTTATTGATCTTATGCCATACACTCTGATCTTTCACAATATAAGTCTGCCATGTCCCTAAGCAAACAATTATCCAAATGCATTCAAATATTTTGTTTGCATCACTGTAAATGTAAGGAAATGTGATCTTGAAATGAAGAATTTACCGAAAGAAGGCGGAGATGGGATGACCAAATCGCCAGGCGAGAGACCTTTAACCGCAGACCCGATTGATTGTACCTCTCCTACGCCTTCATATCCTCCAACCGCTGGAACTTGTGGCCTCACAGGGTACACCCCTTTTCATGGTTCAATTCAAGAAAGACCCACTAGTAAGCAACAAATAGTAAATTCAATAAAAATGTCGTCAAAACATGAACTTAAAATTTTTTACAACTTTGTTTACTCATGTTAATTTTTGTTTGAATTTTTCAAAACAAGCTAAAAATAGAGGTAACAAAAGGCAGGTGCTGTCCTATTCCACTTGTTATATTAGAAGTGAACGATGCGATTGATATGTCACACTTCTAAGATGTATTATAAGAAAACAAATTTACGTATTGTAATTTGGGTTAACTTCATGTCGGCGTGTTCCGGATACACCGAAAAATTGCTCCTAAAAATAAAGCAACAAATCGGAGCATATGTTAAAAGTAATAAATTTACCTCCATTTTCTGAGCAAGCAAACAGATAATAAACAACAATGAGAGACTGAACCCAGAAAATAAAATGAGAAATAAACCTTCAATTCGATTAATATCAGAAGGGTTGATAGGAGCAGCCAACATTTTCACACACACATCGTTCTCCTTCACTTCAACCGGCGGTAATTCTATGACTCTTCCAACCAAAAAACCACCACTAATTTAAACATTAAGAATTTAAAATAAAAATGAGTAATAAAAGAGGTGAAATTGTGAGAGAAAGTTAAACCTGGTGACCCTGTCGGGAGGACCGTGTTGCTCGTATACCACCGCCTTAGACGGCGGCGATAAGGTCGTGGAGAAAGCCCGCACGCTGAGGGTTTGGGACCGGCGGAGGACGGCGTCGTTTAGGGTGACATTGCAGAGTGGTTTCAATGCTCTGAGAGTAGCTGATCGAACCAGAGACGCCATTTTTCAATCTCGAGACCGTCCTCTGAGCTCCAACCCAGGGAGCTTCGAGAAGCTTAAGAGAGTTATGGGCATAAGTCAATCATGGCCGTTGGTTGAAACCGACGCCCGAGATTAACTTAAAACTCAAACCGGGTCTAGACCGCAATTACCCGGTTAAGATATTTGACCCGTTTTACCTCTCCTCTATGGAACATATTTTTACATCAAATTTTGGATCCTCTTTCATCCAGTTAATATCTGATTTACTTGGCTTATAAGAAATTCAAGAGGTACATAATTTTATTGTGTATGTATTAAAGGCTTGTCAAATATCACGCTGCTAAAGTTGAATTTCGAATGAATCTCGGTATATGTCATCAAAACCTCGAAAATTTCATTGTGTCTCACTACTGAAGTTCCAAACTTTGACATGATAAACTCCTCCAATATGTATATATATAGTAGAAAATTCCCAAAATTAACATATAAGATAAAACATTTCAAAGTAAATATCAATCATTCTTTATTTTGCACAGGCATTCGAATCATGTTGAGAGTAGCTACTATTCAACACCCATTGTAGGTTAGCTCAAAAGTCAAGCTTAGAGCAGCTAACTGGAATCAAATTGTTAAAAAGACTTTTCTCTCCCCTTGGTAGACTTTTTCTCTGCCTGAAGGTGTTCCTCACCGTTTGTGTGAATGATTACAATTTTTTTCAATTTCGATGGCACCGACCCTAGTTTCGGCCAAGATCAATGGTCGTTCTCTTTTTTCTGTCTTCGTCGCTTCTTTTCCTCCCTTATGTTGTTATTTCCCTTGCTCTCCATCTGATTTGCCCTCTTCTTACTCCACATGTGTCCCTCCTCCTTGTTCATCCAAGCTCCATTTGCAATCATGATTCCCCACTATTTGTTGCAGTATGTCAAGATGGTGCGTAGAGCTCTGGTGCTTACACCGGCTAGGGTGTTTCCAACGCCACCACTGTTAAGGAAAGTATCTCCACAGATTAGTCAATATTATTAATTGATATTGTTGTTATTTACTTACTTGTTTAGTCCTTGACGTTCCTTGTGTCTAGGCTTTAGTTTAGGATCTTGTTTACTGTATTCTTGTATAAAAGGTGTAAACCTAGTTGGAGATACATATAATGAAAACTATATTCCATTATACGTTTTCTATGATGGTACCAGAGTGATTGATATCTGGGCAAACAAAAAGCAAACACACAAACAAACCCTAGCAAAACGCAGCCATGGGTGATAGCGAAAAGAAGTCAACCTCCTCAGGCATGACCTCGCATTCGAAGTGGGAGAATCCTAATCACCCACTTTATCTCCATCATTCGGACCAACCTGGTGCAGTGCTTGTGCCTCAGCCACTGGTGGAAGACAATTACAGTACATGGGTTCAATCCATGACCATGGCTTTAACAGTCAAAAATAAACTAGGGCTTGTCGATGGAACAGTCGAGAAGCCTACTGAAGACAAACATGAAGAATTGTAGCAGTGGAATAGGTGTAATAATCTGGTTAAGACGTGGCTCCTAGGATCTATGTCCAAAGAAATCTCAAGTAGTGTCATCCACTGTAAAGATGCAAGGCAGATGTGGCTTGATTTACAAGAAAGGTTTTCCCATGTGAACATTGTTCAATTGTTTCACATAGAAAATGAGATCCATGGCTGTGTACAAGGCAACATGACGGTGAGTTCGTACTTCACTAAATTAAAAGGGCTTTGGGACGAACGTGATGTACTGTGTTCTATCCCTGCATGTAGTTGCGACACGAAGAAGGAGATTATTTCCTATGTTGAAACCCAGAAAACCATGAAGTTTCTCATGGGTTTAAACGATTCCTATTCCACCGTTCGAAGTAATACTCTCCTCCTTGAGCCTTTACCAACAGTGAACAAGGCCTATTCCCTTGTTCTTCGTCATGAGAGGCAGGCAGAAGTCTCAACTGGAAAGCATCCCTCTCAACCTGAAGCGGCAGTCTTTGCCGTGAAAACTGGTGGCCGAGAAAATGAACAAGAAGACGGAAATCTTCGTTGCGGGAAGTGTAACAAGACGAACCATACTACCAAGCACTGCCGAGCACACATCAAGTGTACTTTTTGTGGATGGAAAGGCCATTCATTTGAATATTGTCGCAAGCGCAAAGCGGCTGCTGAACCTGAACAAAATCGCCCACCTTCTGCTAAGGGTAATCACGTTGCAGTGTATGACAAGAAAGATGGGATGCCCAATTTTCCCTTTTCTCAGGAGGATTGCAAGCAGATACTTGCGATGTTAAACAAGAACAAGTCATCCTTTGCGAATCACGTTGGTAATTCATCAAACAATGAAGAACTCTCAGGTAAAGCTTTTTCATGCATGCATAATGGTATTACAACTGTTTGGATCTTGGATAGTGGTGCAACGGACCACATCGTTTGCAGCCCTAATTCTCTCACATCCTCGAGGCCTGTTTCTAACCATACTGTTGCACTACCCACTGGTTCTCTTGCCACGGTCACCCACATTGGACAAGTCGTTTTCTCACCCACATTGGTGCTTGATCATGTTTTGTGTGTACCATTTTTCACGTTAAACCTAATATCCATTAGTAAGCTCGCCCATGATTCTTTCTATATTACCATTTTTCTCAGACAAATTTGTGTTATACAGGACCTACGCTCGGGGAAGATGATTGGGATGGGATTTGAGCGAGAGGGGCTATACTACCTCGATCCACCACAGAAAAGAACATGCAATGTCATTCAAGCTTCCAACCCTTCTCTTTGGCATCAACGTCTAGGCCATCCATCCCAAACTGTTTCCATGTTATTTCCCTTCTTGAATAATAAATCTTGTGATTCTAATAAGTGCTTTATTTGTCCATTAGCCAAACAAACCAGAGCACCATTTTCATTAAGTTCTATATCCACTAAATCCTGTTTTGAACTGATTCATATTGACATTTGGGGGGGGTATCACGTTCCTTCTCTTTCTGGTGCACGATACTTTCTCACCATTGTTGATGACTACACTCGAAGCACATGGATTTACTTGATGAAACATAAATCTGATACACGGGATCTCCTTGTGCAATTTATTCATTTGGTTGAAACACAATTCACCACCAAGGTCAAAATGATTAGAAGTGATAATGGGCCCGAATTTCGTCTTGACAATTTTTATGCTCAGAATGGCATCGTCCATCAAACGAGTTGCGTCAACACACCACAACAAAATGGTGTTGCTGAACGTAAGCATCGTCACTTATTAAATGTTGCCCGAGCCCTCCTTTTTCAAGCCAAAATGCCAAAACGTTTTTGGGGGGACGCCATCCTTGCCGCAGCCTACCTTATCAATCGCACCCCCACACCAGTTCTTAAAGGCAAGACACCTTATGAAAAACTATTTAACAAAATTCCCCACTATTCACACTTACGCGTCTTTGGTTGTTTGTGTTTTGCTTCCACTCATCCAAATAAACCTTCCAAATTTGATCCCCGTGCCCGTCGCTGTGTTTTTCTGGGATATCCCTATGGGCAAAAAGGCTATCGTTTACTTGATCTTCAACTTAATAAAGTTTTTGTCTCCCGTGATGTCATTTTCTTTGAAGATCAGTTTCCCTTTCCCTTAAACACTTCCGATGCCCATGACAACTCACCCACCACATCCCACCCACTTTTTCATTTTGACATGGCTTCTTTTTCTGACGCATCACCCATGCCTTCCGCACCCTCTGACCCTACCTCACCTCCATTATCCTCATCTGACCCTACACCACTTGCCTTATCTTCACATGACTCTCCTACCAACCCTGCACCGTCCCCCACTACACTCCTCTCTTCCCCATCTTCAGATCCTCCATCTTCCTCACTTCCAGATACTTTACCTTCCCCCATTCAACCTGCTCTGCCCACTCCTCCACCCCGACGTGGAACTCGTCCTACTAAACCTTCCATTTTTTTGCAGGATTTTCATATCGAGGTTCCCCTCCCGTCTCGGCCTGATCCTACGTCTTCTCTGAACGTCGTCCAGTCATCGTCAGGTACTTCTCATCCTCTCTCCCATTACTTAACATATGATCGTCTCTCACCTCACCATAAAGCTTACACTACCACACTCACCCTCATCAAAGAACCCACCAGCTTTTCCCAAGCTGTCCGAGATCCACACTGGCGTGATGCCATGCAGCGTGAAATCGCTGCTCTTCAAGCAAACCATACTTGGACACTTGTGCCTTTGCCGTTGCATAAACGTCCCATTGGCTGTAAATGGGTTTACAAGATTAAGCTCAAACCTGATGGCACAATCGAACGGTACAAGGCGCGCCTCGTTGCCAAGGGCTACAGTCAAATTGAAGGTGTTGATTATCGAGAAACATTTGCTCCAGTTGCTAAATTAACCACAGTTCGCGTGCTTCTTAGTGTTGCGGCTGTGCAAGGTTGGCATCTCCATCAACTAGACGTGAACAATGCGTTCTTACATGGTGATCTCGACGAAGATGTTTACATGCATTTACCTCCTGGTTTCGGACGAAAGGGGGAGAATCGAGTATGTAAGTTGAATAAATCTTTATACGGTTTAAAGCAAGCTTCCAGGCAGTGGTTCATTAAGCTATCCAATGCCCTCAAGGCTGCTGGGTTCCATCAATCACGGTCTGATTATTCACTATTCGTCCGAAGTCGTCATGGTAACTTTGTTGCTTTATTAGTCTATGTTGACGATGTGATATTGGCAGGGAATAATCTGCATGAAATTGAAGAGACTAAGCAGTTCCTCTCTCGACAGTTCAAGCTGAAAGACTTGGGACAACTCAAGTATTTCTTGGGAATAGAAGTTGCACGCTCAAAACGTGGAATCACTCTATGCCAGCGCAAATACGCACTAGAGATATTGGATGATGCTGGTTTTCTAGGAGTTAAGCCTTCCAGGTTTCCTATGGATCAAAATTTGTCTCTCACACAAATGGAAGGAAAGGAGTTAAAAGATCCTTCATCATATAGGCGACTTGTGGGCAGGTTAATTTACTTGACCATAACAAGAC